ACATATACATAAGTATTTCTATTGTGCAAAATGTACAAAAGCATAAAAAGAAAAGTCAGATTACGTAAAAATAAATTTATGTTACAACCTACAAGGAAATTATGCCAAAAAAAAAAAACAGAAAAGAAAAATATGCACAGAAGGATAAATTATTTTGAGCTTTAGAAAGGAGAGGGCATTTAAAAATTTGAACAATGTGTGCGGGGCTTGAGTTGTAGGGTTTTAGATGGAAAAATGTTTCTTTTGTACTGAACCGTTACATATATATAGGAGTATATGCCCAACTTACGGTTTTATTGCCTTTTTATACGCTCCGCATAATGCGCTTATGGATAAAAAACACTAGGTGCCTTAGTCAATTGTTTGGAATGAGCATGCGCTCTATCACATTATTTTATAAACAGAGATGCAAACAAAAATTGTTGTGCATGTATGTTTTATCGCGACAAAAAAAAAGTTTAATTCTAACTTATGAATGGATTGTGTATGGAGTATTATTATACTTATGTGAAAGGGAAAAGGTTATATTATTATGGTAACATAATTTTCACGTAGGTCTCTCTCCCTCCTCCCTCCCATTCAGAAGGAGCAAGAGAAGAAAAAAGAAAAAAAAGAAGAGAAATACAAAACCCATATGTCTAGAATGACGAACCTTGTGTAAGAGAAAAAAAAAAAAAAAAAACAGGACGTAGGAAGTAACATAAGCGTAGTAACACATTATGTCATTAAACGAACCAAATGGGATGTAACTGTTATAATGTGCTACTCCCAATCATGTGCTGCCCATCCTCATTTCGCATATTCTGTAATAATGTATCCACATATAACTCCTCCTGCATACTACTCTCGAATTCACATTCTCGGGAAAAGGAGCAGGAGTCCCCTCTTCTTTAAACTGTATAGTTTCCATACAACTCCATGGATCGGGGTCCTCTTCCTTAGGTCGACATGAATCCAGGGTTGTCGAATCGTGGGTTGCTAAAGCGGCGTGCGAGTTAGGAACATCCAAGATATTGTTATTCCTGTTGTCGTCCCGTATCATATCCTGCGCAAACTCCTGTGCAAAGTCCTCCACGACAATCTGCAAATAGTCGTCTTTGACGTTTTCCCATTCGGGTGCTTCACATTCGTTGAGCACTTCTAGATGTAGCTCCATGATCGTGCGCTTATGCACGCGTGGATGACGTCGTCGTCGGGCGGATGTTGACGCAGGTTGCCTATCCCTAACCATCGTGTAGTCGTAATCGGGTGGCGGCAGGTCGCCGCGTTGTAGATGCTCCAATATGTCTGCGTCCAGTGGCGGTGACGGCACGTCACGAACGGTTCGAAACTGTCGTCGTCGTTTGGCGAGGTACGCAAAGTACTACAAAAAAAAAAAGAACAAAAGGCGGATGAGCAGAACATGGATTTGTTGGCATCATCATTTAAGGGCGCTCCGTAGAAACACACTCTTATGGTGCATATTACGGATACGCATATATGGTGTCCACTCGGTTATATTTGTGCGTGCTTGTGTGCGTTGTGCGGTTTTGTGTGCTTACTTTCCAAAGGGAATAGAGGACGATAAGGGAAGTGACGGATGCAACGAAGATAAGAATAGGAGAAGAAAGGAAGATGTCCTTTGCAGTAAAAATGGGGGAGATAGCGTCATCATCTTTCGAGCGCCCCGGAATTGTAACTGGTTTATCAGATGCTGTAACCTCTGGGCTTGGTGGTGCATATGATCCATCCAGGCCCCCTTTGTATGGTTTAAGGTCTAATTCAAATCCAACATTTTCAGCCTGCATTTTACTGTCGGCAGCGTTGTTTTCCTTATCGTCTCCATTAGAAGCAGTAGCGCGGCTTGTGGTTGAACTGGGGGAACTTCCACTTCCTCCCCCGCCTCCACGTCCTGCTCCACCACCAGCACCATCTGGTAGACCGCCCGCGCCGGTGCCGCCGGGGCTGCTCCCCGATTGATCTGGGTTCGTGGGTTCTGGTTTGGGTTTGGGTGGATTGAGAGGAGGGGGGTCATCATTGCCGCTACCAGCGGCGACGGCACCTCCACCACTGTTACCGGGGGCGCCGGTTGCACCTGACGCACCGGATGAGGGACTCCTGGAATCGGGTGCTGGGGGCGATACATCAGGACTCTTTGGTAAGGAATCCTTATCTGGCTGTGCTTCCCCAGGTGCCGTGGTTGCCGTGGGGGTAGGTGGGGACTCATGGACTTTTCCTTCAGGTCCTGGGGCCAATATTAAGAAGGATGAAGGTAATGTGAGAAAAGTGCACGTTATGCCGTGGTTGGTGATGGCCATGGTTGGTTAACTACAGGGTCAGATACACGGTGAAGCACGGTGCATGCGCTCATGGTTAGCCACACGGTGCGTCGCTTGTTGCCTGACCGCGGTCGGCACCATTGGTGCCACGGGAGACGCAGTGCAGGCGTCGGGGAGACGGTGGCAGGCGACGGGGACGAGCAACGGGGGTAGGGGGACGGGGCAGGGTGCCACCCCGGGAAAAGATCCTCCCTGTCTCCAACTACACAACACACGCAGGCACAGTGTGTGTGTCTGTCGACGTCTCTACGTCGACGTCTACATCCAGCGGCCGACCCGTCGAGCTGCGCATCGCATTCTCATTCGACGTTTGGTTTCTCTCTCTCCGTGGTGTCTCCGGAAAATTGTTGTTTTTTTTTTCTTTTTTTTTTGTTTTCTCTCTTTCTTTGTTCTAATTGGACTCAATACCTGGGGTACCGCTTCCTGAGCATTCAGGGGATGAGGACTCCACGGTAGTGATTGTGATGGTGGCGGTATTCCCATTTACCTCCTTAGTCTCAGTGTCTGTTGTTGTCCCACATGTTGACTTAGACTTCTTACCTGCTTTCTCTGATCCGTCTGCTGTTGGCCCTGGTGGTGATGCGCGTGGTGGTGCCGCAGGTGGGGGTTGTGGTATGGATCGCGTTGCGGAATCATCGGACCTTCCTCTTCCATCGGTCCCACTCCCTGGCTCTGGTGGTTTGTTCTTATCTGTGTCCTCAGGAACAACCTCCTTTGGTGTCTTTGGTACCTTAGGTGGTGGCGCTTCTGGTTTCTTCGCTGCAAATGAAGGCGGAAGAAAGATGATAAAAAAAAAAGGGACACCAGTGGCACAGAAAGAACGGGCCGGGACGGTGGGGTCAGGTAGTGGCCGGGTACGGTCCGGCTCGACGACGGGGCGCGACGATGGGGTCAGGTAGCGGCCGGGTGGGCGTCCGGCTCGATGCAGTGGGTCGATGCATTGGGCCGAGGTGTGCTCGGTGGACTGCGCACTCGGTGAACTGGGTTGCGATGGTAGCAGTACACTTTTATTTGTCGCCGTTCGCAACCGCTGCCGTAGCCACTCATCTCCGGCCGCTCCGCAACCGCGACCACTGCCGTCGTCGCCGCCGCGTCGCTCGGCTCAACGTGAGCGAAGTCGTTTGCTGTTCCGCCGTGTGCATTGCTGTCACCGCGTGCGCGTGGTGGTGGTGGCGGCATCCATATGCGGCCATTTATTTAAAAATCCGTTGTTGTCCGTTGGCCGGCCGTACGTGTTGTTCACAAGTGCGTTGTTGTGGTGGCGGCATCCATATTCGTGCGCAGTCGTATCGGTAGCGGCCGTATGCGGCCGTACTCTTCGTATTCTTACTGTTCCTGTTGTTACTATTCATATCCTTACCGTACCCAATCTCCTTTGTCCCCGATTTTTGGGCTTGCGCACTTATCTTCTTTGCTTCTTTCATTATGTCATCCTTTGCTTCCTGCACTTTCTTAATTATCTTTATTACTGCTCCTGCCAGCTCCTTCTGTCCTTCCTTTATCTTCTCCTTCCCTTCTTCGCTCAAACGGTCTTTGATACGGTCCCCTTGTTGGTCCCCCTCCTTAAGATACTCTTGCCACTCCTTATTACATGGCATGGCATCTTGCATTTGTGCTATTTCAGCACTTATGTTTCCATGCTCCAATAACCATTGTGCTATCGCCAAATTTATTGCTGTTATATTCCTCTGATAGCCCGTATACCCACATGGTGTACACTGGCCGTCTATAACAGGGCCCCCCAGTGCATCAGGCGTACCGGGTTGTCCGCTCTTCATATTCCTGAATGTTTGCCAAGCATACTCTATACCTCTGGGCCATCTTTGCTGATCTTTACAATACCTTTCTTTCAGTAAGTGCCCCAAAACATGGGCCACCTCGCACCTGAGCGCCGCCTCGTCTTCGTCCATATCTCCACCTTTTCCATCTATGTTATCACCATTTGCAAACCACAACGCACCGGACATGAGTCGACATCTCATCATGTCCGCCACTCTCTGACCCATCCGGGAATACTGATCCATATCATCCCAACCTGTGTTATCACAGTTGGCACCAAGTGCGTCAAAGTCCTCATTATGGTCCTTCAAATATTCAATAAAATCCTGCAACACGTCCTGCACCGGTTCCCATTCCTTATCCTGCATTTTGCACATGCAAATAAAAGAATATGCATGTCCACATGCCACGTGCACCATGGCCCGTGGTAGCATCTATACCTACACATATGCATGTCGCCGTATGAATAAATTATCGGTGCCGTCTGTTCCTCTTTCGTCCTCTTCCTTTCTGACTGTACTCAAACTTACACTATAACCATGCTCCACGTAGATTGTCCTAGGCCTCCAATCTAATATTTTCTCCCCTTGACACTTCTCCTGTGTTTCGTGCTTCTTCCCCTTCCCCTTCTCTCCTACGGCACCACCAGCATCACCACCACGTCGTGCCATGCGCCTGGACCGCGTTTTCGTTACCGTCTTCTTCTTCGCTGGTCTCGCCGCTACTGGTGTGGCAGACCGTCCGTTTCCGTCCTTGCCGTCGTTGCCGTCTCCGTCACCGCGTTCTCCGTCAACGCCGCTCGCGTCAACGCCTCTGGCGTCAACGCCGTCTCCGTCACCCCGTGCTGCGTCAACGCACCTCCCTCAACGCCTCTCCGTCAGCGCCTCTCCCGTCAACGCCTCTCCGACACCGCCCCTGCGTCAACGCCGTCTCCGTCAACGCCTCTCTCCTTCCACGCCTCTTCCGTCAACGCTTCTCTCCGTCAACGCTTCTGGAAGTCGTGATAAATGCACAACAACTACTTATTTTCTTCCCCCTTCCGCCGTCTTCGTACACGGGATTGTCTCCGAGTACGGGAGTTCGAGGGACGGATTCGCGTGAGGGAGAAGAGAGCGGGGGGCGGAGATAAAGGAACACACATATTTTGTGGGAAGGCGAAAGACGCAAGGAAGGCGGCAGAAGAATTGATGTTGTTGTCGCTACTGCGGTTTTTAGGTGTACGCACACAGAGACAGTGTGTGAAGGCGTTTAGTGGACAACGGGCGGCGGAGGGGGTGTATTCATGACGCGTTGTGTGTGTACGGTAGTGTAGTAGTAGTTTTTTTGTTTCATTTTTCTCTTCATTTTTGTACTCCTTTTTTATTCTGTGCATATTATTCTCTCCTAAACAATATCAGCATGGTATACACAGGTTGTGGACCGTGCAATTCTGTATTGTGCATTTGCATTATATAAATTATATGTGTGCACGGCTTCCCCCCATTTATAGAGTAATAAGCATATTCATGAGGCACAAGTGTGCATAGCATGCGGGTGCAATATTAATAATGTGCATAATATTCTCAGGGAGCATTCATGTCCTGTATTATGTGACGTAGGGCACCATGGCAGGGCACTTAGTAAATGTAATGGCCGAATGGGCCATAAGGCGGGCACTATGGACACAGGCACAGGTTGATGTAAGTGTTCACTCAGAACAAGGGATTGCACGCCACAACTACGACGGGTGGCGGCAACTAGTGTTCGTACATATATGTGCCGTAACACATACGGACAGGGAGCTACAGTCCTATAGAGTTGATATATTGTTATACATTAATCATTTTCTCTATGTATATATTTCGTAGCGTGCATTATGGGCAGATATGGAAACTGTATTACACGCTTTTGTGGACCACATGGACCGGATAGAGCCCCGCTTAGATATGTATGCCACAAGCTGCGGG